GATGACCAGGACGCGAAAGACGACGACGACAAGGTCTCTTGTAGTCCTCAGTCCTCGGCCCGGACCTCAAGCACCGAGCCGGGACCTCAACTGCAAAATTGTTTTGCGTTGCGTCGCGTGCCGTCGTCGTCGTCGTGGTCGCTGTCGCCGTCGTCGTCGTCGCCACGGTCATCGTCGTCGTCGTCGTCGTGCTCGTCGTCGTCGTCGTAATCACCGTCGCCGTCATCGTCACCGCCCTCGTGGTTATCGTCGTCGACGTCGTCGTCGTCGCCGTCGTTGTTGTCGTCGCCGTCATTGCCGTCGTCGTCGTCGCCGTCGTCGCCGTCGCCGTCGTCGTCGTCGTCGTCGCTTTCGTCGTCGTCGCCGTCGTCGTCGTCGCCGTCGTCGTTGCCGTCGTCATCGTCGTCGTACTGGTCGCCGTCACCGTCGTCGTCGCCATCGTCGTCATCGCCGTCATCGTCGTCGCCGTCGTCGTCGTCGCCGTCGTCGACATCGTCGCCGTGGCCGCCGCTTTCGTCGTCGTCGTCCTTGCCGTCGACGCGGTCGTCGTCGTCGTGCTGGTCGTCGTCGTCGTCGTTGCCGCCGTCGTCGTGCTCGTCGCCGTCGTCGTCGTCGTTGTACTCGTCGTCGTCGTCGTCGCTGGCGTCGTCGTTGTCGTCGTGGTCGCCTTCGTCGTGGTAATCGCTGCCGTCGTCGTCGTCGCCGGCGTCGCCTTCGTCGTCGTCGCCGACGCCGCCGTCTTCGACGTCGTCGTCGCCGTCACCGTCGTCATGCTCGTCGTCGTCGTCTTCGTCGTTGTCGCCGTCGTCGTCCTCATCGTGCCGGTCGACGTCGTCGTCGTCGTCGTCGTCGTTGTGCTCGTCGTCGTCGTTGGCATCGTCGTTGTCATCGTCGCCTTCGTCGTCGTCGTCGCTGCCGTCATCGTCGTCGCCGTCGTCGCCGTCGTCATCGTGCTCGTCGTCGTTGTCGTCGTCGTCGTTGTCGCCGTCGCCGTCGTCGTCGCCGTTGTCGTCGTCGTCGACGTCGTCGTCATCCTCGTCATCTTCGTCGCCGTCGTCGTCGCCGCCGTCGTCGTCGTCGCCGTCGTCGTCGCCGCAGTCATCGTCATCGTCGCGGCCACCGCCGTCGTAGTTGGCGTCGCCGCCGGCGTCGTCGTCGCCATCGTCGTCGCCGTAGCCGTCGAGGACGCCGTCGTCTTCGACGACGTGGTCGTCGTCTTCATCATCGCCGTCGTCGTCGTGGTTTTCGTCGTCGTCGTCACCGTCATCGCCGTCGTCGACGTCGTCGCCGTCGTCGACTTCGTCTTCGTCGCCTTCGTCGTCGTCTTCGTCGTCGTGACCGTCGTCGTCGTCGTTGCCGTCGTCGTCGCCGTCGTCGTCGTCGTCCCCTTCGTCGTCGTCCTCGTCGACCTCGCCGCCGTCGTCGTCATCGTCGTCGTCGTTTCCGCCGTAGTCGTCGTGGTCATCGTCGCCGCCGTCGTCGTCACCGTCGTCGTCGCCGTGCTCGTCGCCGTCGTCGTCGCCGTCATCGTCGCAGTCGTCATTGTCATAGTTGTCGCCGCTGGCGCCGTCGTCATGCTCGTCGTCCCGTCGTCGTCGTCATCGTCGTCGCCGTCGTCGCCGTCGTCGTCGTGGTGGTCGTCGTCGCCGTCGCCGTCGTCGTCGCCGCCGTCGTCGCCGCCGTCGTCATTGTTGTCATCGCTTGCACTTTCGTCGTCGTCGTCGCTGTCGTGGTTGTCGTGCTTGTCGTCGTCGTCGCCGCCGACATCGTCTTTGTCGTCGTGGTCGACGTCGTCGTCGTCATCGTCGCCGTCATCGTCATCGTCGTCGTCGTCGCCGTCTTCGTCGTCGTGCTCGTCGTCGTCGTCGCCGTCGTCGTCGCCGTCGTCGTCGTCGTCGTCGCCGACGCTGGCGCCGCCGCCGGCCCGAAGAAGAATGGGGGTTGGACCCCCCCCCTCCCCCATGTGAATCGTCGTCCTCGACGATGCTCCGCGCCGCCGCCGGCAGCCGCCGCCGGCGCCGGCGCAGGCTGGCACGACAGGCGGGCACGACAGGGGGAGGCAGGCTGGCACGACAGGCTGGCGCAGGCCCGGGGGAGGGGAGGGGGTTCGAAACACCCCCCCTGGAGGGGGAAAGTTCGACCCCCCCCCCCCTTGAACCAGGGGAGGGGGGGCAAGTTCCAGAACCCCCACTCCTCCAAGCGCCCACAGAACGCGCTCTTTCGTACAACGCGATACACAGATGTGCGTACATACATACATGCCGATACACATATATATATATATATACAAAGTACGTATGTAAATGTGTACGAACTATATGTGTATACCATACACACGAAATGTATCTATTATATATACATGCGTACGTACGTACGTACATACATACACACCCATACATAAAAATGCGCATAGTGGTTTGTATGCGGAGTGTCCTCAAGTCCTTGTGATTCGTCTGCACGGAGTAAATCCTCGCTCGAGGACCCAGAACTCCGAGCTCCAGAATTCCCTGGGCGGTCCAGGATGGACCAGGGATTCTCTGACAAGTTTCCCGCTGGCCAGAGGACCCCAAGCCGGGCCAGGGGAGCCCCCAGGAAGCCTCCAAGAAGACTCCAAGGGGCCCCGAGACGCCCGCAGAGCGCAATCAAGGCGCCCACGATGGCCTCGAGTCGGTGTCCAAGGGCCTCGAAGACGCCCCAAGAAGGCTCCAAGAGATCCGCCCAGAGAGCCCAGGAACAAAGCATCGTCCCATTCATGGAAGCGTGCATTTTCAGCACAGCTGCGTGGTTCTACCCGGCGTCCAGGACTGCCCAAGAGGCTTCCAAGATCGCCCCAAGACGGCCCAAGAGGCCTCCAAAAAGGGTCTCAAGACGGTCCAGGAGACTCGCAGACGGCCCAGGATGGCTCCAAGCGAACCCTAAGAGGGCCCAAGAGAAGGAACAGGAACTGACATTCGAGCCCTCCGCCAAAAGAACCCCCGAGAACGTCAAGAGGACCCCAAGAGACTCCCTAGAGGCCCCCAGAAGCCCCAGCGGTCCCCAAGATGCCCCCAGAGAGACCTCCGAAGGAAGGGGCCAAGAGGGCCTCAGGACGGGCCAAGAAGGCCTCACGAGGCCCCCAAGACGGTCCAAGAGGGCCTCGAGTCGCCGAAAGATCGTCCCAAGACGCCCAGGACAGCCTCCAGATGGCCAAAGAGGCCGCCAAGACGCCCCATGAGGCCTCCAAGAGGCCTACCAAGAGGGCCCCAAGAGGCAAAACACATTGATTTTCCTTTCGGTGTTTGAAGGAGTTGGGCAGCCTCGCCGTTTCGGCTTTCCGACGTTCCAAGGCGGCCCGAGAGGCCCCCAAGACCACCCCACGACGGCCCAAGAGGCCTCCAGTAGGGCCCCAAGACGGCCAAGAAACCCCCAAAGGCCCCAAGAGGCCCCAAGACATGCCCAAGAGGCCCCCTAAGAGGCCCCAAGGGGCCTCCGAGAAACTCAGAGGAGTCTCGAAGAGGCGCCAACACGACCCCCCAGAGGTCCCAAACTGCATCCAAGAGGTCCTCGAAAGGCCTCCCACGAAATCCCAACGAACATCCAGTAGGCTTCATACCCACAGCCCACGCACGGTGGCGGAATGGGCCGAAGGCCATTCGATATGCCTGTGCGTAGCTATATCTCTGTCTCCCACTCGCTCTCTACCTTCTCTCTGTCTCTCTCTCTATCTCTATCCCTCTCTTCATATCTCTCTCTCTCTCTCTCTCGCTCTCTCTCTCTCTCTCTCTCTCTCCGTCTCTCCTTGTATATATGGATACGCATACCTCACTTTATCGTTATCAAACGTTATGTCTCTCTCTCTCTCTCTATCGCTCTCTCTCTCTCTCTCGCTCTATCTTGTTTATAATGTTATAGATTCCTATGGTGCTCCCTCCCTCGTTATATAGATCACTATGTATATGTATGCAGATATGTTTCTCGCTCTCTCTGTCTCACTGTCTATCCCTCTCTATATGTCGTTGTTATCTCTCTCTCGCTCTCGATCTCTCTCCCAACCATCACAAGCATCACCATCATCGCCCTCAAACCCGGAAGCAGCATCATCAGCATCATCGTCGCCAACACCACCACCGTCGTCAACGTCATCAGCATCAGCATCGTCATCATCAGCACCATCACCCTCAGCATCAGCATCCGCATCATCATCAGACTCATCATGCTAATCAGCATCACCACCATCCCCATCATCACACTCATCATCAGCATCGTCATCGTCATCACCATCATGAACTTCATCATCAGTCGCAACAGCATCAGCATCAGCATCATATCCCCATTGTCAACATCGTTATCACCAACATCAACATCATCAGCATATCCATCATCATCACCAGCACCAATAACATATTCATCATCCTCATTCGCATCATCATCATGCGCATCATCACCGTCACAATCAGCAGCAACACTCAACATCACCATCATCATGATCAGAAGCGCGGGTACCATCAGTATGATCATCAGAGGCAGTATCATCAACAACACATCCCTCGTCATGAGCATACTCATTATCGGCACCATCAGGATCATGATACTGAAAGGACAATGATGTGCGTAAGCATCATCACCATCATCATCGCCATCATCAACATGATGATTATCATCGCCATCATCATCAGCGTCGTTATAATCACCACCAACATCATCACAATCAACGCATGCATACCCATACGAGTATCATCGCCATCCGCGTCATCACCCTCATCAGCAACAACATCATCCCATCGTCCTCCGCCTCATCATCATCATCATCCTCATCCTCGTCCTCATCCGCATCCTCACCCTCATCCTCCCCATCCCCATCCGTACCCCGATCACCATCATCACCATCAGCAGAGTCGTCATCATTATCAACCTCATCATTTGCAGCCGCATCCTATCCGTAATCATCATCCTGATGTCACTTCCTTCCTCCCCATTCCCGTTCCGCCCCGTCGACTGGGTGGGCCATGTCTTGTCGGGGCCTCCAGCAACAACGCCGCGCCGCGGCATCCCGCGGCGTCGCCGCACTCCGCGGCACGCTGCGCCACCCCAGCCTGAAGTCGAACGGGAAAGCAAATATGATGAGCAGCAGCAACAGGAGGGGCGGAGGAGGGAGGGGAAGCACGGTGCGGGTAGGGAAGCAAGGGGCAAGAGAGGGGGGCGGGAGACGAAGTGAGAGCATAAGGGGAAGCCGAGGGAGGAGGAACAGGAGTCCAGGGATTCCGCCATCACGTAGTGCTATTATTCGCTAGACCAGAGGCCGCCCCCTGAGCTCACCCGCGAAGTAAACGAACCATAAAATGGGCAGCTCCACCGAAAGCTCCAGTGGCAGGGTTCGCATGAGTACTCGGGTCCACTTCTGCACACCGCAAGCTCCAGTAGCAGGGTGCGCATGCCTACTCGCGTCCACTTCGGCACACCTCTCACTCGTTTGGCGGCCCCACAGGGAGCTCCACCGAAAGCTCCAGTGGCAAGCTTGGCATGCCTATTCGGGCCCATTCTGGCACACCCCTCAAACCTTCCGTGGCCCAATGGGGAGCTTCACAGGAGGCTCTAGAGGCAAGGTTCGCATGAACACTCGGGCGCATGCTGGCACACCCCTGATACGTTTCGGGGCCCAATGGGGAGCTTCACCGAAAGCTCCAGTGGTCGCATCCACCGAAGGCTCCAGTGGCAGTGTTCGCATGCGTACTCGTGTCCACTTCTGCACACCCCTCACACGCTTCGTGGCCACATCGGGAGCTCCACCGAAGGATCCAGTGGGAGGGCTCGTATGCGAAGCCTTCGGGGGCACTGCAGATCCCTCAGTATGTTCATGTGCATTCAGCGCTCCCATCAATAGCGCCAGGGTAAGTATCCCATTGCAGCTACCTTTGGCTCTCGTCCTCGCGTGCGCCAGCCACGCATCGAGTCGAAGGGAAACCTTCGATCCCTCCCCCGCAGGGGTCCTGGGGAAGGGTCCCGCGGGGGCGGTCCTAGAAGTGCGCAGCTTGTTCCGGGGGTTCAAAGTCGTTTGCCATCCTCCTCCCGCACCTCCTCCCCTACTTCTGCTCTTGCCCATGCCCCTCTGGGGCGCTTTTCGAGGCTTCGAGCGCGAGCGGATACCAATACCAAGGCAGGGGGGGCGACAACACGGAGGAGAGGCCAAGGACGGAGCGAGCAGAGCCAGTGACTACCTACCAGACCACCCCAACCCAACCCGAAGGCACGAATTTGACCCGAATTTCGGGTGGGGGGGGGGTCCCGGGACCATGTGTTTTTTCGACGCTCCCCGATCCCCCTGGAAATGGAGGGCAAATTGAGGCCTTCGTGTTGGGTTGGGGTGGTTTGGTGGGTGGTGAGCCAGGGAACCGATACTCCAGATTTCGTAATAAAGGGAGGGGGGTCTCATTTCGGGGGGGGTCTCTTCCAGGCTATCTTGGAGGGCCTGGGTGGGTCTGGGGACGATGTCTTGGAGGGTTCTCCCACGGGGGGGGTCTGAAATGGCTCGTCTTGGAGGGTCCACACCCCCTCCCTTTTATTACGAAATCTGGAGTACGCATTACGAAATCTGGAGTACGCAGACATCGAAAGTGGTGTCGGCGGGCGTGCGCGCGCCCCGCAAGGCGCGCGCGGCAGCCGCGGCGGCCGGCAGCAGGGGCAGGCCACTCGCAGATCCCCGGGGTCGGCCAGCCGCGAGAGCACGACGAGGGCCGCGTCGCTGCGCCCCGGGCACGCGGGGTGCAGAGGCGGCGCCAGTGGGCAGGAGCTTCCCTCGGTCGAGCGCTGGCAGATGTAAAGGGGCCCCAGAACACACAGATAAATACACACAAGTAAAAGTATGTCCCACATTTTCCCCATGTTTTGGGTGTCTGTCTTCCCCCCCACTTCCCATATTTTCGCATATGTTCCTGGGGATCGTCGATTAATTGTGTCTGTGTGCTTCTGTTCCCTCCTGAGAGGGCCGCGTCGCTGCGCTCGGGCACGCGGAGTGCAAAGGCGGCACCAGTGGGCAGGAGCTTCCCTCGGTCGATCGCTGGCAGAGGGGTTTTTTTTGACCTCCACGGGCCCACCGCATAGTGCAAGCAACTGGCAGTGCGGGACCTGCCAGCTCTGAGAAATACCTCGCCTCGGCGAGAGCCGCTATGGGGAGGGGGCTTCGCGAGTTCCTTTCGGAGCGCCCACTATGGCCCCCTCCCCGCACGGATCGACCCTGCAGCGACGGGTCGGGGAGAGGATGCGCAGGCACAGGGCAGCAGCGCCTCCTGCCCCCATCGTGCGAGTCGCTCGGTATCGTCGGAAGACGCTGCCGGACGTCGCCGGCGAGCCAGGGGGGGAAACGAGGAGGAGAAGGCCTTCTCGGAAGGCTCGGAAGTCCCCCACCCTCTGGGAAGTTTCGTAAGCATTTCTCGAAGACCGAGAAACCTCTCGTCCCGCCGCCTTCTGAGAAGGAGTTCTCCTCCTCGCTTCCCCCCCCTCGCTCGCCGCCGGATGTTGCCAGAC